CTTTTAATAGCACAAGAAGGGTAGCGGGTAAAGATCCTGAAATGAACAAAGGAAAAGAGGCTTCTGATGTGATATTGTTAGGATTTTCAAAGAGAACACAGGGGTAGAGTGAGAGGAGCTCCTACGGGGCAGCGACTATCCAGTAATTATTGATGATCCCATCTAGAAGGGAAATAAGGGAGCGCACGGAGACCCCCAGCATCCCTTTGGATCTCCCTAGGATCTAGTGTTTTTAGCAGGGGCATGGGCTAACCCCCACGAGGAGGACCCACAGTGCAAACGAGCGATCACAAATCCTTCTGTGGGAGATGAAAGAAAGAATCCACACACAGGTGAAGGATGATACATAAGGGAAAGCACTGGAATGAGTAAGATGGAAAACACATGAAGACTGCTTCATGTAGGAAGCAGTGCATAAATGCATCCCGCTCAAAAACCAAGAGGGGAAAGCATCAAGATTAGGCGAGAGGGTTACAGTGCCGCGTATTCCTAAAGCAATACAAGGTTTCTATAAAATAGGACCCTCATCCTGAAGTCGCGTTGCCTGGACAGAGCCTTAGGAAGGTTGTATGCTGGACTGGGACCAAGTCACGAAGAGTTAAGCGTAGGCTCTGGGCCTCGGCTGCGTTATTGGTTGTTCCAGTCAATCAAGGGAATTCCGCTGGTCTGGCAGCAGCGTTGTGGCCTCCCAGGAATGTGGCACTCAGCTACGACCGCTGCCGTCCGGGAGGCACTGGGAATGGGAAGAAGGTGTTTCTTAAGTCTCTTAACTTCTGTGAACCAACTGCTGTTGAGGTGTGGTTTAGCGTTGTCGAAGAGGATGTGGGGGATGGAGTTAGGGGAGCTCCTGCAGGGAAGTGGCCGCCCAGTGATTATTAATGATCCCATACGGGCGGAGGATAATGGGGCGTGCAGGGATGCGCGGCGTCCTCTCTGAGCTCTGCTGCAGTCGCTGTCTTCTACACGATAAGAAATTTGAAAACTGTGCACGAGGAAAGTGCTAGGGAGAGCGGGGAAGCAAGCTACCTACAAACACCATTGCTGTAGTCTAAAAACGACCAAGGTAAATTATCCCCGAGGAATTGCGTTTGGCTTAGGAGCAATTTGCAAGGCAAAACTGTAATTCTTTTGTATCAGAGAGAGACAAATCCTATCTTAATTCCTTCAGTGACCTCTCCTAGACCTTTGTGATCTCTGCCAGGCTTTTCCCAAGGTAAACTTAGCAACTTTAGCTAGTGCTCCAGCTGGGCTTTACCAGGGCATGTTTGCAGATTGCCAGAAAGGTGGGCAGGAAAAGTAAAGATGTTTTGATTGATGATTATTTTCTCTATAATGAGATGATGAATGGAAACCGTCTTTCCATTCAATCCAGATTTGTAAAGGTATTTGAGGTATTAAATGCCACCAAAATCCCAAGGATTGGCCAGGTACTTAAATATGTTTAGGATCTGAATTCTCTGACTAAATGAATCTGTCTGATTCTTACATTATTTCTCTTTCATCTAGCATCTCCACTGTTTGAGGCTCAGCCCTGGCGCATTCCTCCATCTAACCAAGGATCTGACACAGAGTAAGGGAGGATCCGGAGTATCTTTCATCCCAGCAGAACAGAAATTTATCTGCCCGGCACTGGGGAAACAGCAGCAATGTTACCCAAGTCACAGGCTGTGCTCGGTGAAGAACAGCTGCTTTTGAATCCTTCAAAGGGACCCAGCTTAATTTTTTTTTCCCCAACTGCTGCTAGAAAAGACTTTCTTCATTGACCACACGATGCAAAGAAATGGGCATGGAGGTCCTGCGTCTATTCTCACTTAGGCTGGCCAAAAGGAATCTTAACTGCCTTGCAGCCAGTTTAGATAGAAAGGTGTTGGAGCAACGGCTTTACACTTTTTTTTTTGGAAGTACCGTACTTGGTGCAATGACTCCTGCCGGTCTCTGGGATCTCCAGGTGGGATCTCCTGTTTCCAAAACTGGAGTACAGTCTAAATCTGTTTCCCTGTTGTGCTTCTCAGCCTGGTTTTCTGTCGCTGCTGCTCTTGAGCTGGTGCTACATTCTCTTTTTCTTCTGGGTATGTCGTCTCTGCAGAGTTCACCTAGGCTTTTGACCACAGAGACACTTGCGTAGAACCTTGCTAGAGCTGCTGGCCCTCATGTGAGCTTGCCTGTGTGTCACTCGGACATCTTGGGGCGTATCCCATGGCCTGAGCTGCTCTGTGATGCTTTGCCAGTGAATTCCAGAAGTTTTTTGTCTCCGTGGGCACCGAGGGGGTTGTGGAAGAGAAGGGAGGACTACCAGCCACCCGAGCGATGGAAGCTGTACCCTCCCTACAAAGTGAGTGGTTTACCACCGATGTTAATGCGATCCCTCAGCTGTAACCTACAGCCCCTGCCAAATCAGCTAGACTGTGAAGAAAGCACCGCAGCGTCCAAGAGAAAAGCCTTTAATATGTGGGTGAAAGGAGGCTCAGGGAAAACGCTTCACGAAAAAGCTCGTTAGGGCTGTACTGAAGACAGAATTTCTTTCTCATGTTAAAGAAGGCAACTCCATCTTTTCAATCATGTTAGTGGGAAGGAAATCCAATCCCACACTCTGGATTACAGCGTTGCGCATGGCTCTGTGTGGGGAGCTGGCACTAGTGTAATTATTTAAGAGAATGTAAATCATGTGCTCTTATTTGTCTTTTCCGCAACTAAGGAAATATCCAGTAAATGCAATGAATAGCAGTTTTTAAGGATAAGGGGACTGCATGCACAGCAACTATAACTCATTGCCTTATCGTATCCCAGAGTGAGAGAGCTGGGATAAAACTGAACCTTTCCACGTTAGGAAGAGCCACACTGCGCCCATGAATTCTCAACATTTATAGCCTAGAACTCATGTTCCAGAGAAAATGCCAACTATGGGCCCACAAGGATTAGGAGAAGACTTCTGCTCTGTGAGCAGATTATTCTGCACGGCGTCACTTGAGGGGTTCGAGTTCTTTGGCGCGAGAGACGTTGACCATTGTCAAGACCAGGCACCGAGCGCGATGCACCATGGATCTGACCTGAAGGGCGAGCATCCAGCAGGAGACTCTGCCCGTTGGGGTACTTGGTCGAGTGCCATGTGAATTCCGGCTCCAAATCAATGATTAGGGAACTCAGCGCATCTCCCTCTCCCAGACTTTGTTCTTTCATTTTTCTGGTTGCCCTGGATGCTTGGAAGGGGGAGTTCATCTCAACCGACACGATGGCCTAAGAGCTAGGCCTAAGTCTAAGCTGGTCACCTCTCAAGCAATCAGCTGAAATAGGAACTTGCAGATGGCAATTATCTCATATATCTTAGGATCTGTTGATTATGCAAGAGACCAGACTGACTAATTTTGATTAAGAAAGCTAACTTTTAAGCATTTAAAGTGAGGTGGGGTAAACCCTATCCAAAACAGTCATCGGCATCATTCCCTGGTAGTGCAAATCCCTCCTCACAAGCCCTTTCCCCCAGGAAACCGAGTTAAACTGGTTGCTTCATCAGTGTTTCCTTGGCTCCTTAAGTCCAAACTGTTGTTCCAGCTTTTTTTTTTCCTCCGTTCAGCAGCGGGTAGCTTCTTGTGGCAGCAGTTCAGCGCTAGGTCCGTGTCACAAAGAGCAAATGGCTGCGCAAGAAAATGATGTCACCCTGCAGCAATGGTTTTTCTTTTCTCATCAATGAGCGTACTCGACGGAAACTTAAAGTTCCCAGGGTCTGACTGGTCTTGGAGCTGAGTGCTCGGGCATTACTGCAGACACTGTGCCTTCGCTGCAGCAGATCATGCATCTTAAGTGTTCACTACACATTTTAAAGCTTAGGCCTTCTCTGATTTATAAAGTTTTTGTATTTATGATGCTGTAAAATAACTAACAGCAATGTCCAGGAACATACCAGGTAGTCTATCCTTGAAGCAACAGCAGACCTACCTAACGCCTTGGTGTAACTCCTACCGATGATGTTATTAGAATAAAAATGTATGTGCTTGCAACATGCTTTACAATCATTGCTGAGGTCGCAAAATGGGTCAGAATCTGAAATGGAGAGAAAAGACACAGAGACACAAGAGTCTCCGTCACCTGCCTCTGCCACTGAGCTGCTGGCTGGCCTCAGGCAAGCCGTGTCACTGCCTGCGCCCCAGGCTGCTGATCTGCAGAGGCAGATGGTTATTTACCCGCCTTTATAGTGCGCTTCCAGATACGCTGATAAGAAATTGCTAAACAAGTACAGAGGAAGGTTGTTATGCCTTCGCCCTTCTTCGTAGATGCGCATTTCCCTGCACCGCTTGGTAGTTCCAGATCCTGCACAACTCTGATGAGCCACAGCCTTTGATTAAAGAATTGAAAGTACCTTTTAAACCCCAGAGGCCAATGAATCAGCACTGCTGCATCGGAATTCCACCAGTACAAGCAAGATCAGAATGTGAGCCCTAGGCTACAGCCCTGCTCAGATGTGGGGAACAAACCCAAACATGCCGGCCGCCCTCTTACCCAAACTTTACCATCTGTTTCTGCCCAAAACTCCACCTGCATTTACCCGGTGTTCCTTGCCGGGAGCAATGGCAGAGTTTGGTACTGTAGTTTGGCTTTGTAGCCAAAATGAAGTTTTCCTAATTATGGCTCTTCTGAGCTAAAGAAACAAAAACTTGGAAAAAGGAATATGTGTAACTGAGGTTGATGGGAGTTGCAGGTGGGAGCACAGCTGGATTAAAACTGAGTATTTTTGGAAACGGCCAACTTGTGTGGCGAGATGGAAGAAGAGTGAACGTGAGCTGTTGCCAGGGAAGTAAAAGCATTCAGAGAGCCAAGTCTCAGCAGCGGCGTTAGGGTTATAATAGGTTAAAGGACGGTTACCGAAGAGCGTGGAGACCTTGCGGCAAAGGGAAAGCAGCTAATGATAGGAGCTAAGTGCAAGATAAAAAGTTGCTGTAATAGGTGGATGAAGCTGATAACGAATGGAGAGCACAGCTCAGCTCACGTAAGGAAGGGCTGAGGGGATGAGGAGGCAGCGGCACGGTGCGTAGGGTTGTGTTTAGGGGGTGTGGATTAAGGGGAGGGATGGGGGGTATGGGAATTGGTTTGCAATCAGTCGTCTTGTCCCTGCTGGCAAGGGACTGATCGCCTTACCGTGCGCCTAGCACGGGCATCCTACCTGTCCTGCGCTCTGTGCCATCCCCAACAACACACAGAGACATCCTCCAGATGGATGCTGTGTCGGGGCTGCACCACCAAATAATTCAGGGGAAGGAATTGCTTTCATACCCCAGCCAGCCCAAAGCTGGACACACAAACAACCCCTGACCGCATGGGCACGTCTGAAATGTCCCTTGCTGCAGTAGGTTTGAGAAAGGCGATGGCAGGAGATGTATGTGTGGATAGATGCTTTGTAGCTGTTTGCACAGCCTGTATCGCGATCACAGCCACTCTCCAAACCACTGATAAATTGCTGGTTGGCACAGGATGCTTGGGAGACCCCCGGGGAGGTAAAATCACGGGTATAGACAGGTCCAGACATTGCAGGATACTCCCAGCACATCCTGTAGGAAGGAACCTAATTCAGCTCTCCAGAAAGCCCTGAAGGCAGGAGAAAGGTAGCAACGGGAGCAGATGGTCTAAATCATGTTTTCAACCTGTTCCGTCCTGGGATCTGGCTTTGTATAGGCAGGATGCTGCCAAACCCACCCAGCAAGGTGGGGAAGGCAGGACGGTCTCGCAAGACGTGCACACAGACATACACCCTCGTACCAGCCGCCTGCCAGGCTGCTCGTGCTGACCTCGGGCACCAGAGCAGGCTCCGGTTGCTTCATAAACCAACCCACGCAGTGGGAAGAGCCGACCTGCGGCTCCTTCCCTGCAAACCCTGCTGACCCTTCGGTCCCCAGGCACACACCAGCTCATCAACGTGATGCCAAAAATCTTCAGGTCCGCCCCCAGATCAGGAGGTTTTCAAAGAAAGGATTTTACCAGCCCACAAATCACAAGAGCGGGTCACTTGGCCATTGCCAGCATCTCTCTTAATTTTTGTCTGTCATTTGGTGTTTGTTTTTTTTTTTTTTCTTTTTAATGCCCTGTTTTTCTTGCTGCCTGTTCTCTCCTCCTCTGCAGTCCTGTTTTCCTATCCAGGCAGCCTCTCCCCTCTGCTCGCTGCTAGGGTCACATTACTCACAAAGAGATCCACCAGAATCTAGCGTTGAGCAGGGTGCCATCAGCAAGGAGAGGCAGGAGCTGGTGGCACCAGCGAGGCTCTGGCTAACAGCACCAAACAAATATATGGGGACAGACTTTTTAGCAGGGCCAGTAGTGACAGGACAAGGGGTAAAGGTTTTAAACTGAAAGAGGGGAGATTCAGACTGGACAGAAGGAAGAAATTGTTTGTGCTGAGGGCGGTGAGACACTGGCCCAGGTTGCCCAGAGCGGTGGGAGATGCCCCATCCCTGGACACTGCCCCCCACCCTAGGGTATTTAAACATATTGATGATAAACAAAAAATCCACCCCTGACCCCTCCCAAACCTTCTCTTCTTGAGGTAAAACAATCCCAGCTCTCTCGGCCTTTCAGCCCACACAGGGCAGCAGTGTAGCCAGAGCAAAAATCTGGTACCTGACTGTTTCCAGCTCTTACGTACCTTCATAAGTACCTTCATACGTACCTTCACCGTGAGGGTGGTGAGGCCCTGGCACAGGCTGCCCAGAGAAGCTGCGGATGCCCCCTCCGTGCAAGTGTTCAAGGCCAAGTTGGATGGGGCTTGGAGCAACCTGGTCTGGTGGAAGGTGTCCCTGCCCATGGCAGGGAGTTGGAACCAGATGATCTTTAAGGCCCCTTCCAAGCCAAACCATTCTATGATTCTATGATAAAAGCAGGTAGTTGCCCACGCGAGGCCAAATTCAGCCGTGAAACTCCCTGCCTGGAGAAATTGTAGGTGTTGAAGCTCATGTGGGCTCTAGAAGTCACTGGAGATGCACGGAAGGATCTCAAGGTCATTTAATCTGATTGTAGGAGAATTAAGGCTGGAAGGAACCCCAGGAGGTCTCTGGTCCAACCTCCTGCTCTCAGCAGGGTCAGCCCTGGGATCAGCCCAGGTTGCTCAGGGCTTTATGCAGCTGCGTCTTCAAATCCTCCAAAGCAGATGACACAACTGCGATGGGCAACCCGCTCCAACACTTGGCTGGCCTGTGATGAAAAAGTTTCTCCTGACACCTATTTTGAACCTGTCTCCTTAAAACTTAATGCCCGTTACCTCCCGTCCTCCCACCACAGGCCACCGTGAAGACGTAACCTCCGTGGAGGTGCTGGGGGCGGCTGTGGGGACCCCCAAAGCCCGCCCTTTCCTGGCTGAGGGAGCCCCTTCCCTCAGCCTCTCCCCACAGGGAACAACCAGTTTCCACCATCCCCAGATCCCCCCTTTCTCCATCATTTATCAGCAGTCCTGGTCCACCGGGGAGGTCCCAGATAACTGGAAGCTAGCAAATGTGACACCCATCTACAAGAAAGGTCAGAAGGAGGATCGGGGAAACTACAGGCCTGTCAGCCTGACCTCGGTGCTGGGAAAGGTCATGGAGCAGATCATCTTGAGTGCCATTACGTGGCACGTGCAGGACAACCGAGGGATCAGGCTCAGCCAGCATGGGTTTATGAAAGGCAGGTCCTGCTTCACTAACCTGGTCTCCTTCTACGACAAGGTGACCCACTTAGTGGATGAGGGGAAGGCTGTGGATGTTGTCTACTTGGACTTTACTGAGGCCTTTGACACTGTCTCCCACAGCATTCTCCTGGAGAAGCTGGCTGCTCAGGGCTTGGATGGGTGCACTCTGCACTGGGTAAAAACCTGGCTGGCGGCCGGGCCCCGAGAGCGGTGGTGAATGGAGTCAAATCCAGTTGGCGGCCGGTCACCAGTGCTGTTCCCCAGGGCTCAGTGCTGGGGCCGGTCCTGTTCAATATCTTTATCGATGATCCGGAGGAGGGGACCGAGGGCACCCTCAGTCAGTTTGCAGGGGACACCAAGCTGGGCGGGAGCGTTGATCTGCTGGGGGGCAGGGAGGCTCTGCAGAGGGCCCTGGCCAGGCTGGGTCGATGGGCCCAGGCACTGGGTGAGGGTCAGCAAGGCTCAGGGCCGGGTCCTGCACTGGGGGCACAACAACCCCAGGCACCGCTGCAGGCGTGGGGAGGAGCGGCTGGGAGCTGCCCGGCGGGAAAGGGCCTGGGGGTGCTG